CGAGGTAAGACAAAGCATATGTCTATTTATTCTGCTCCTGTTCCAAAGTCATCTGCAGCTCTGAGTTTGAGAATGAGTTTACAAAGATATCCAATTAACACACGGGTAATATCAGTAGTGAAGAAAACGTGTCTTCCCTTTGTTCTATTGTAAGATGAGGTCCAGGGCGGTTTTACTAACGTACAATTAAATTAAACTAACATCTAACATCTGGTAAATAATCTGCTTCTGAAATGACACATACGCCATATACTCAGTAAGATTATGTTTGTCTTTAAAGAAAACATTTAAATCTGGAGAGACTTTAGACAAAGATTGCATTTGAATATTTATTGTCAAGATGCATGAATAAACACCAGCAGACTTAGATTGAGTACTAATATATGTATACTATTATACTAATACTATCTTGGGGCCCCCCACGAGGCCTAGAACCTGGTGGCGAAGAAAGTAGGAGTGTAGAGGGATAAGTCAGGCTACCACTTTGGTCTTCCATTCTGAATTTCATCCTTCATTCTCGAATGGCGGCGGGAATATGGCGCAGGGGGCAAGGGGTGTACTATCTGGTGTACACTGGGGGTAGTCTTGCACAGTTTTTCCAACATGGTTTTATTGCAAATGGCACATAAATAAATTATTGAGGAGATCCTGAGTTCGAATCCCCATCACCAGACTCCACCCATTTCCTCAATTTTCTAGGTTAAGAATGAACTCACTTGAGGAAATGGGTGGAGTTTGGTGTGCTCCTGCTTGGTTAGAATAAAAAACCTGCAGCGACACAGCCATTTGACGGCCGAGTTGAATCTCCTTGTCTCTCATGTCTAGTGATGACAGAAATTTGACTTTGGCTTTTGATGATCAAAGAAGGAATGGAAAGGCAACCTGGGAATTCTGGTTGAAACCCCGGGTATTTGGTGAAATGCCTTTTGACCTGAGTTCCACTATGAATCCAATCCAATCCAGTTTATTTATCAAGCACATTATATAAAACGTGTTACCAAAGCGCTGCACAGAGACAAAAGTGACACAAGTAAATATGCATGTCTACAGGCTTTATATGTACAGGTATATGTACATTGGAAGTTTCTAGAAGTTTCTACAACAGGAAAAATGTTGTAAAGTTCTGTAGACAGGACTATTTTTATATGGTGGCTAAAAGGTAAGTGGCTTGGTTAAGAGCCCTCAAAACTGGATTTACTGGTGTGTTTGGGGCCAACCAGTGAGCTATATCCCTTCATATGGCCACTTACATTAAAGCTGCACTAACTGATTTGGAGAACATTTCAAAAGCGAGCAATGCGCTCCCTCTCTCTGCTCGCCCTCCCCGCACCCACGGAGCTTTGGCCCCCCACTACGCCCCCCCCCCCCCCCCCCCCCCCCCCCCCCCCCCCCCGCAGCCTGTGATCTGCGCTGTTAGCTTCGGAACTAGCTTCTCACAATATGGAACAATATGGCACTTTTGCACGTGGATGGCGTGACCATAGAATGACAGAACCTGGAAGCGCGGCGAGGACGAGACTTTCTTTTGGCTGATTGTTGTGCTAACTCAGCTGTCTGTGCTAACTATGGTGCTAACCAGAGACCTGTGGCTTTTCTCACGAAAGCGGGGGCCAGTGGTCCGCTGTGATTGGTCACAATCTGAGACCCGAAACAATTTCTCTTCCTTGTTTCACCAAAACTCGATCTATAATATAATGTCACGCCAGCACAAACCTGCGCTACTTATTCTTCAAAAGGACGTATATCCCAATGCACTGCATGGATATGGATTGCATTTTTATAATGAATACGAAAATAAAGTCAGTTATTGCAGATTTAACAGTTTTCATTATAATTTTGCACAACCCCTTGCTCTCTTGTCACAGCATAAAATGTCTCTGTCCATTATGCTCTAATATGAACTGTAAATGTCCAAGAGCACAGTGTCATTTTAACTCCATCAAACTCATCTTTCTGCTAATGCCCATGAAAATCAGCCATTTTGCCTTGTAGTGCTCCTCATCTCTCAATTACGAGTGCAGATACAGTGTTCCAGCCTAATTCTGCCCTTTGGATTCTGACTATAAAAAGCAGTCTATTTTGCAGCGCATTTGCAGGCCAGTGATGAGTGCCCAGGTCAATGTGCTCACTTGGCACCAGGGTTAATTTCCTTTGGTAATATGTCAGCCACTTATGCTCCCATTATCTCTAACAGGGTCCCACAGGCTGCAGCAAGTGTCAGACCAGCCCCACTGTTTCACCACGACACACAGCCTGGGCAGAAGGAGAAAATAAGACCCAAATGTGACAACTGAAGAGGCCTCTGACTCAAGAACATGTACAGTATTTATTTATTCATCATTCAGGTCATGTAACTTATAACCTAACTTTGGGGTTAAACATATGTGCTATTCTCTAATGAAATCAACTATAGGTAATAAAAACTGACAAACTCTTTCAAAAGACGTTTCTGTCCTAAAGGGAATAGGATTGCTAAAGCTGGGTTACTTGTCTTATTGTTTCTTTCATAAATAATACATGTAAGAAAGTCTGTTAAAATGTCTTAATCTTATTCGAAATATTTGGCAAAGGGAAACTATATCTTGCGAGCTGAAGCCAAATAATACATGTAAGTAAGAAAGCAAGTCATATTTATTTATATAGCACAGACCATGAGTCACAAAGCGGTTTAAAATGTAATAATTGTGATAAAAACATACTGTTTGTGAGCCCGGAACTAGTAGCATTGTCAGCTACAGAAACTTAAAAGGACATTTTTGGCTTTATTTTTGTTCAAATCCAACTACAGTCAATGTAAACAGGAGAGTGACGACTCTTATAACAAGTAGAGCTGAAAGTGCAGCTGTCTACTGTATATGCTAAATATGTATCTCCATTTCCATGTTGATAGAAACTATTTTTTCCAGTGGGTTTTTGAGCCCGACCAATGTCTTTAATACGTTAGGTCGAACACAGGAAATACAATACTAGTAATTTGATTTGCTGAACTGTGCTGGCGATTCAAACTTTGTAAAGAGTGATTTAGCGCTATGCAAAGATTTAATGAATTGATATTGAATACAACACAATAATATAATAATAATATTATTATTATTATATTGTATAGGGGCCAATTCACTAAAAAAGATACAATAGACTGAAATTCATGAAAACCAGGTTGATACGACACAAAGCACCACACACAGCAACTTGCACACACACACAATTTTAAAAACAAGAATCAAGCATAGGGTAAAACAAGGACCAAACCATAACCAGCCGTGCAGCCCTCAATGTTCCAGCTCATGTCCTCAGCCTCTGCTCTGCTTCCTCCTCTTCCTCCTCCACTTGCCGGGCCTCCCCTCCGTCTATGACTTTAGAGAACAGAAGCGGCTTAGAGGGGCACCGGGAGACAAATCAATAAGGCATGATTTATTGATCACTAAAAATGATGGCACTCATTAGCCCCCCAAAGGGACCCCAGCGCTAAGCAGATGACAAAATGTCAGCACCCTTGGCCCACCCTCCATGGCCAGCACAGCCCGACATAAGCTCTGCCTCGGCCTCGCACTGGAACACACAATTGTATCTGTAATTGTAATCACACGCAAGGTCAAAGTTTACAAAATAATACAGTAGGTACATTTTTATGGCTTGTATTCTTATTATGTTTGCGCTTTACAAAACTACTGTGTATCTGGTGCACCCGAATACACAGTTTGAGTATACAATCAACCTACAATCTATGTAGATTAGCATATGATTCATGAGGAAGTAGTAGTGCAATTAGAGGTAAAAAAGCAGGCCTATTCAACGTAATTTTCTCAGGACTGGATCTTTCAAAGGGTCTTGGTCTCCGAATACCTGGGTCTGATTCAATTGGGACTAATTTTTTAATAATAATGAATTTAGTTTTATATAGCGCTTCTTTAATAATCTCAAACGATTCCCATTATTCAATTCACTCCATACACTGTGGTGGTAAGATAATATAAGATAGACTTAATCAATCTCACAATGGAGAAAACAAAGTGTAAACAGCCCTGGGTAGACCGATCTAGAACCTTACCAATCGGTATCAACAGAATCATAGGTAGTGGCCAATCGTTTATACATACGTATTATTAACCCAATAAACATTTAATCTGTTAGAATAATGAACAAAATAGAGAAGTAGTTGACTATTGCAAGACTAAACCAGATAGCAAGGGAAAAATAATACATATATTATGACTATGTGGAAGGGGGACGGATCGTGTGCTGGTCCTGGGTTGATATTTGGCAAGTTGGCCCCTTTTGAAGTCATTTTAAAGTGTATTCTTGCGAAGGGGAAGCTGAGATATTGGGTGAACAGAGGGAGAGCTGTGTTTTAATTAATTCAAGATAGTACATTTAACCTGCTTTAATAAATCAAAGGGTCAGCAGCCCCTCTGTCTAACCAGGCCCATCTCTGCTTTATGTCCCCGCAATGATTTTTGTGTACCCCCCACTGACTGTATCCACGCACACACGACTTTACAGAGGCACTTTTATTTCACATCTGAAAAGGAAAAGGTGATCAATAACTACAAACAAAAACGGGTAAATATTGGAACAGCGCAAATGGAAATGCACCACACAGTGATGATTGCTTCGGCTTTGACAGAGAAAAGGACTGCTCTTTGATTGTCCGCATGTGGAATTATACAAAACGGTTTGATATGAATGAAAGGTTGAATGGGAATTTGTGAACAACGATCTGGTTGCATAACTTGCTAAATTATGCCTATACTATTGTGATAAGAAGAGTTTGGATTGTGCTTTCAATCCTGCTTCAAACCAAGCACCAATACATAACATCACATCAAAATAGAAAGATTTATGTTGTGGTATAGGCTTGAAGGAGGTGCCATCAAGCACAAGTTACAAGACAACTCATTCAGTTTCCTGCATTTGTGAACTGTTCATTTTGCATGTTGATTCATTAGTTCTATACTGGTCAAAAGCCTTTGCGAGGGTGGGATTGTAGGTTGACAAACACATCAAGAGCTTATCACAAACCTCAGGTTGGATGGACTTACTGTAACAGGCACATGTCAATGTGAAAACATCACTGTCTTACAATTGTTTGGTATCAAGGAAGCAAACAATTTAAAGGGGGCTTTGTATTTCAACTCAGCTCTCTCTTCATTACAAAATAGTCCTATGCAGCGGTCGCATCATTGCAGATGCTGCACCAAACCATCTGCGTATTACCCGCTCCATTCTTCCCTCACTTTGAACAAGACCTGAGATACTTGAACTTTTACAACCACCTGGACGCTGCTTTTCATCCCAACAGCTTCACCCTCAGCTGAGAACTGCTCCTGTGTGTGGCCTTGTGCTGTAGCCTGAGTCCTGGATCTATAGCCCGTGTGTCTGTGGGAGCGGATCCCTCTCTCAACGTGGACCTCCCCGAGGTTTCTCACTTTTTCTCACTGGGTTTTATATTTGTTCCTTGCTGATGCAGGAGGCTCTGTTAGACCCTTTTAGACCCCCTAACAAAAAGGTCACTCAACATTCATCAACGACATTTATCAGCATTTATGGACATTGGTCATCTGTTGCTTATGGACTATGGTTCAATGTGTTTTTATCATTGCATTTCAGGTGTTTGAACTTTTTGATAATAATAATGCATCGGTTTTATGTAGCGCTTTTTTGGGACACTAAAAGACGCTTTACATGTTGTTGTTAATTTACTCCAAACACAAGCGAGGCAGCCAGTATGTGCCATCGGCCCTTCCGACCACCACCAATCATTCACACACACACACCAGATTTATTCTGCCCCCTGATATGCATGTCCTTACTGATTTTGGCCTTTTTAAATTGAGGCTCAAAACATATTTATTCAGACTGGCTTTTAACACTTTTATCACTCAATAGCAGGTGACACTTTTTAAATGCTTTTTTAAAATGTTTTAGTGCATAAATGTTTTAAATTGATTTTATGTAATTTTATTGTGAAGCACTTTGGTCGTCTTGAGTGTTGTAAAGGGCTCTATAAATAAAATTGATTGATTGATTGATTCTAGGCAATGGGGGTAAAGTGTCTTGCCTAAGGACAAAACAGCAGTTTGGCACTTTACAGCCGCAGCCGCCCCACTGTGGCTGGTGTTCCCAGAGGTTAAGTGTCTTGCCAAGGACACAACGACAGCAGACAGTGGGAGTCGATGGTGAAAGTCGGGCTTGAACCCACGACCCTCTGGCTCAAAGGCAATGCTCTACAACTGAGCTACTGCCGCTCTGATCTGTGTTGGCAAAATCAACAGTTTTTTCATGTCCCCCAGAGATACAGGAACTGTTGTGATTTAGGGCTATACAAGAATACATTGAATTGAATTGAATTGAATTGCATATTGGACGTTCTGGTTTGATGAACCAACAGGACAACTTCATTCGCAAACCAGACCCCCTCCATCCCCAGGCCGTGCCAACAAAAAAACTGTGCAGAAAAAACATGGCCTATGTTTTATCAATTGAATATGCATCTGTTTTTATAAAGTGTCTTATTCAAATGTAACATGTACATTCCCCTGCACACACCTCTGGCTACAGCCTCTTCTCCGCGATAACCCTCTTCTCCGTGATCGCTCATGTCCAGCGCTTGTGTTTGCTGCTGTCTCCGCTGGGACAGGGGCGCAGGCTGAGCCCCAGGAGGGGAGGGGGTGACTGGACGCTTCATCACCCACAAGCCCCCGCTCATGATGATGCATGGAGCGAGGCAGGACACACAGGCTGGACCTCTGAGGCCAAACACACACACACACACTTCAGAGCCACTGGACTGACTGTGTGGAAGCGACTCTGACCTAAAGAGCAAAGGAGTCAAGTGCGGGCTGGGGGACATAATACACTAAGTCTCAGATGCACGCGCATCGCCTTTCCCCTCAGTCCTCTGACTACCGACACCTTGCACTATGCATTCTTGAGTTTTACCCTCTGTCTCAGGGAATCTTTTGAGGAAGTATCACGCCAGACAATTTATAATTATAATCTTGTTCCATACATTTGAGCATGGCATTGTGTCAACTCAATCTAAATACTTTGTTATGAACCATATGTTTAATAAAGAGTCTCAGAGGTTTTAAGGTATCATATATAGAATATTAGGAATTGGGTTATGTCCCCTTTAAGATGCCATCACTCTTGGCAATTTCAATTTTTTTTCAATGGCCTGCTTCTTTTGACATACAGTATATGATGAAAATATGTTGTTCATTTAATTTGTAAATCAGTTCTGATCCTCTACAACATGCATGAGTATAAGATCTTTGAACAATTGGATTAAGGCTTGTCATAGAGTGAGTTTGACAAGCATTCAGTTAAAACTGTAAGCAGCTCCAAACAGATGAAAGCAGTGGCATGGGCAGTAGCTGATCTTTGTGCCCTATTTTTTCCTCTTCCTTCAATAATGTTTACGGTTCGAACGTGTGTCTTGTTTGAGCGACTGATATTGAGTTTCAGACTTACAAAGACCAGCCGACCGCAGACTGTCATGACGTTGGTTCTCTCATTGTACAAACCATAGCACTGGATGGTGATGTGTTAAAACTTGGACACAAAAGGCACATGCTGTCAATGTGTTCCAAAATAGCGTAATGTCTTCCATCCTCCCCTTAAATCTTTGCCAGTTCGTTGTTTTGAAGCTGTATCATAGGCCTGCAACATGTCCGCCATCCGCGCATCATGGAAAAACTTACAAGAGGCCGTACGCTGGTAAATAAATAGCAGAGAGCGTGCAGTAGCGTTGGCCCTACAAATATTTAGTAATGGGGCTGCGTGGTTAGCTCTCCATCTGCCTACAATTCACTAAGCTTCTTCAAATAAATGCCCGAACGAGGAATTCCACTCCAGCCGCTTTAGTTGAATTGCCAAAACGTATAAAAAATGAGAAAAAAAGAGGTTACAGGCTTTACAAGCAAGTTCTGGAGGTGTTTAGATTAAATTATATCATATCTTAATTGTTTTGGGGTGATTGTGAATGTGTGTGTGCGTCCACTTTGTTGTTGGTGGAATGTTACAAGCCAAAGGGAAGTGGTTTCATCTCTTTAAAATCTACAGGCTCAAGTTGGTGAAAGCTTTATTAGTCCATTTATGTTTAGAGAAGTTATTACCACTCTCGAGGTTTTCAATTTCTAGTCAAGTGGATTAAAACAACAGGAAAGCAGTTGGTATTCAAGTCTTGGAGTCTATTGTCGTTTCAGACATAATTTGACTGGATAAATTCAAAACCAAGTGGAGACATTCCTTTTGTTATAAAAAGCAACACATCCACTCAAAAGTCTGTTTGAACATGTGCTGTGAACTTCTCCACAGACCTGGCTAGTAACTTAGTGACATCACATGCCAGTCTCTGAGATGTTTACCCTTTAGGAAAACCAGGGCAGCCCCGAAGATATCGTAAACTTAAAGCTAGGGTGCCTAACTTTGAAATTATTTGAAATTAGTCTGGTTCTATCACTTTGTTCCCATACATGTGTTTTTGCCTCTGTCATAATCTTTTTCAGATGTGGCAGACTGACAGATTCGAGGCAACCAGTATGTGCCATATGCCCCTCCGACCACCATTCATTCACACACCAGACTCATTCTCAGCAATGGGAGAAGTGTCTTTCCAAAGGACACAATGGCAGTTTGGCACTTTACAGCTGCAACCGCCCCACTGTGGCACCTGGTATTCCCAGAGGTCTCCCATCACAGTTCTAACCGTCACACCTTTGAAGCTAAGCAGGGCCTGCCAGGATCCGATGTTCACATGCAACATACAACTGTTTTCTATGGTCTAATTTGTTCAATTTGTTTTTCTTTTAGATGACGCCTACAAGACTCTTTCTGACATTTAGGAACTTTCCAGGCAAAACAAGTCAGCATCTTCAGATTGAATCCTTCTGGCTCCTTTATGTCCACAAATATGTAATTGATAAATAGTAAGGGCCTATTGGGGTCCATCACTGTTGAATCCAACTTCTAGCTTTTTAACATATACATTTAATAAATAAGTAAATTGTATATGAAATGGTCTACATGTTTGTGAGAATATAGTAAAACTGCGAGTATCACATTTGCGCGAGGTGTGAGAGAGACAGAATGTTGCAGAGAAGTGGTTTTGGCCAAGTGTTGACCAGACGGAGTGCGGAGGGCCTTGATGGTTTCCTGTGAGGGTGCTAAGCCCAGGCCTGGGACGCCAGACGGGGGTCAGTCCAGCCACTCACACTGGGCCCTGGCCGACAGCTCTGAAGAATGTGCTCCATTGTCCGCAATCCTCAGCGTCTCACAGCCACAGTTCTGTTCGGAGGAATACACTGACCCCTACTTACCACCTCCCAGATTAAAAACGCAAAACAGCCTTTTTGGCTTTGCACCATTTTGGATTTCTAAATTGCATTTGTGGGACTGTTCTTTTCATTTCACCATCAATAATACCAAAAACACCTTGAATTGCCAGTTTAAGATACACTACACAACGTTCCTGCTGGAGGATCCACTTTTAGCTTGTCCATCTTGACTTGCTACCTCAATATTCTGCACTAGAGTGTATTACAGATTTATCTACAGATGTATTATGTACAGAAGTAATCATTTCTTGGCCTAGAGTATGCAGTATTTAACACTTTGCTTCTTTATTAAGCTAAAGATAGTGTTTTAGAAATATAGAGTTGTGCTACTTACTTAACAGTCACATATCTTATGTTGTGTGCTTCTCATTCCTTCTGTTCCTTGACTGAAATTGGGGGACAAAAAAAAGTTTTTCTTCATCTTAATCTTTGTTAAACATACGTTGGAGACAAGCAAGTGACTTTTCTAGAAGAATAGAACAATGTGTTTGGCCAGCACATTTCATGCACCAACATATGATCACAAACATTTATTGCAAAGTCTACTGGATGTTTTTACAAATCTGTATTGTAGTCTAATCTTAATAGTGCTCAACGTTGGTACCATTTGAAGTCCTTTGGTAGAGTGTTCCATCTGTAAGGAGCAATGAGAGAAAGCAACTTCCGATTCCTACTTTCAATTTTACACTATGACCGGTGAGAAGGACACAGGTTCATAGGCCAAAAGCAAAACAGAACTAGGAAGGCGCTGAACGGTAAAGGGGTTTAAAAATTAGGAAGAAGTCAAATTGTGCCTATTACAGAGACAATGTAGATCATTTCTTTGATCAATATTAGCTCTGCATCATTTTGAGCTAGTTACAAGTCAGTTCATCAGACAGTCAGTGGAGAGGTGAGCGTACCCAGTGAACGAATTAAGGTTTTGAGCAATGATAATTGACCAATCGTTGCTGAATTTTTTATCAATGAACGTTACTGCCCTCTCAGACGCAAACACATTTTGTCAAATTTTATGCCAATAGAAACATGTTATTTTATCATGTTATCGTTGGATTTTCTTGTGTTCAAACTGTTTCATTCTCTGATTTCTGATGGCGAATTCCCGACTTTGTAATGTCCTCCGAGATTACTGCTGTTGTGATTTAGGGCTATACAAAAAAAACAAATTAATGAATTGAATTGAATGCAATCTAAGCTTTACTTAGTACATCTAGACTCCGTATCTAGAGAGTAAATAGGCTATCACTCATTTATCCCAAGAAATCTGCATTAGTATTGGTTGCAAAAATCCATACTGAGTTATATATTGATTCAGCAGTGTACTAGGCCCTTGTTCAATGCCTTCCAAACACCTGAAGTGTGCGAGCATGAACCGATGGGGATTACGAGTCGGATCTGTGTGGGGCGGGGTTGAGGGGGGGTGGTTGTTATGTGGAGACCGCCGACAGCATGCGATCGCCTCAGCCTCGCAACGGAGAAAAGAGAAAAAAAGTGCTTTATTTTCTTTTCCCTCTCAACCCTCTGTCGTCCCCGGCGTCTTTGGGTGCTCCGATCATATGCAAAGCTGTTTTATGCTAATGCTCTGTGTGTACACTCTTTGGTAAGCAGCGTTTGGACTAGCATACACAAAATACATCACAGACTTGCTCTCCACCTGCCTGCCTGCTTCCCCCTGCAACCAGCGGCCGCCTTTTCTCTGGCTAAAGGCGAGATACGCAAGGAAGTGGGCGACGGAAAGCGGAATAAGAATCCACAGAGCTTCTGCCTGCGCTGTTTGTCCATTTAGGGATTGCAATTAAAGTGGAGGGAGCCTTAAAGGATTACGCTGGCATTTATTGTATACTTTCCCCTCTGCCAATGATTCAAATAAAAGGCAAAAACCGACAATGTGTTCATCTGTCTGTGCTTATTTCCCGAAGAACAACTCATGAAAAAGGGAGATTTACCAACATGCAGAATTGTTGGTTTAGTTCTTCTTGCTTCTTCTATTTGGACGGTCTTTTGTGATGTGTGATTTATAGGTTTGCCGTATAATATTTACCTCAATGCATGGGCCAACTCCGCCTACAAACATATGCTTTTATCAATGTGGATGAGTGTCTTTGCAAGGTTTTAAATGCGTCTTTTGCAGAGTAGCACTGGTTTGGTGGGTCGGATTGTAACTAGGCCAGGGTATATTGCAGAACCAACACATAAAGTCTAACCCTGAGCTTTCAAAACTCAAGTTTTTGATCAAGGACAAAATGTTTTCAATAGGTTGTATTATCTGTACCAATTATCTATTATCTGCTATTCATATTTAATATTCAAATATTTCTTACCCTATATATTCTATGTAGACCCCGGTAGAGATGCTACTTCTATCTCCGACCTCAAACATAACAATTTTTACATGGCCCTGATCGGACAAACTCAAATACTCGAATGATTGGATATTTTAGTAGTAGTAGTAGTTTATTTGTTCAGTCACTTTTTCACAACTCAGACAATACAGATCATTTGAAAAAAATAA